ACGCTCTTCCGAGGTGAGACCCGACCGGCTGTCACCCATTGTGGTACCGATGCCGGTGGCGCCCAGGCGTGACCCCGCCCCCGCCGGCCGTCACCCAGCCCTGTGGCGATAATCGATTGTCTATCGGGGCAGCGCCGCCGCTCCTGGGGCTGCGTAGGGAAGAGTGGGTCATCGCGCCTGGTTCCCTGACATGCATAACAGGGGCCTAGGCGTCTTCCCAGGGTCGAGGGCCTCTCTCTTCTGGTCCAGGGCCAGCCTCTCCTTCCTAACCTGACCGAAGGCCACGTGCTGGGGGTCCAGGGTGAGGCTGTAGTTATGACAGGCCAGGAACGGGGGGAGGGGTCCTCCAGTCCCCTGAGCTGCACCATGGGGCTTCTGCTTATCGCACTTCATGCCCATGCACCTTTGTGCTTCTCTCTCCCGCACATAAATTCATGCTCACTAGTCCTTGGCAGGGCCTCTTCCAAGACCTGGAACTTCCAAGGCTCCTTATCTGAGTCATCCCAGTGCCCAGCACTGGTCCTCCAGCCCTCGGGTACAACTAGGCTTGTGGCCTTCCAAAGGAGTAGACTGATGCCCATCCCTATAAGAGTGCCCGACTACTGAGAAGCTGACCTGGGTACCCTGTGAAAACCCAAAGGAGCTGAGGGTTGTGAAACCAGAATGGTGTGCAAGTGGGTGACCCAAGTGTGAAACCAGAGTGGTATGCAAGTGGCTGTCCTCGGTGGCTTGAGCCAGGCCATGTTTGAAGGAAGAAAAAAAAAAAAAAGGGGGGGGGGAGCCCAGCTCTGACACCAGAAGACCTTGACAAGCCTCCACTGTAGATGGAGGGTCACCCCTCTAGCATTGATGCTGGGTGGACCCCAGAGTACTAGACCAGAGCTGGAGTCTCCTGGCAGGGACATGCCCCGCCCAAGACTGATGAGGTTCCCTGGGAGGGGCTCCCCCAGGAGTCTTCCTAGAGAACTGCCTCCCCATCCTCATCCCAGCAGGCCAGACAAAGCCTGCTGGGGACACGCTGCCTGACTATTGTGTAAGGGAGAAGGAAGGGGCCAGAAGCTAGGGAGGCAGAGATGGAGGCTTCTCCCAGGCCTCTGGAAGGTCCGCCAAGTCGCTTGTCTTGGGTACCTGCTGCTCAGCACCAGCAGTGTTCCCCTGTCCATTGCTGCCAGGATGGGGACCCCCCCCCTTCCCTTCCAGCTGAATTATGAGCCCTTCATGCCTACATCTGCCCATCCTCTGAGGTCAGTTAGGAGCCAGCCTCACACCATCCCCTAATTCCAGGGCCAAAGGGAGAGAGAGCTGAGTCAAGGCAATTGGAGGGAGCCCCAGAAGAGTGCCAGAGTTGGGGTGCTTGGGCCGGGATCCGTGGGTCTAGATATCTTCCTTGTCTCCTGTGGTGTATGGAGACAGGGCTTAGCCAGGTCTCTTTCTTACTCTATGAGGGGGAGGGGGTCAGAGCTGCAGTCTGCGTGGAAGGAGGTTGTCTGTCTGCCCTTCGCCCCCACACCCCTTCTTGGACAGTGATGAAGACTCTGTCTGCTATGCCTACTCAGTATTCTAGGACGGGAAAACCTCAAATGTCTCATCCTCATGAGGAGGTGGGTACAGCTGTGGCATATGGCATCATATCCCTGAGGAGTCTTGAGCCTCAGGGACTCGAAAAAGGGCTGTGCGGAGCACCCCCTTCCTTAGGGCTTCTCCCGGTAACATGCAGGATATGACAGCTTGATTCGGCCATACTCAGACAGGTTGTGGATGGGGAGTAAGACCCTTGCTGTTTGATCTGGACTTCCCTAGAGAATGTACCTTCCCAGTAGACAAGTCAAGGGGGCAGTTTAAGACTAACTAGCTCTGTTCAGCATCAGGGTGTGGCCCAGGCCGCGGCTGTCTGTATGATCTTCCAGAGATGCTCTAGATCGGAGATACCACCTGTCTGGGTGGAGGCCAGGCTGAGAGCTGTGTCCACAGCAGTTGGAGCAGGGAAGGTGGGTGGATTCAGCCTGGAGGCTCCCTGTGGGTCAGGCAGGAGCCAGTAGCCACTCTCTGGGAGCCAGAACTTAGAAGGCTGCTTCTCAGCCCTGGGATGAATGGCTCTCCTGTTCCAGTTGTGGGCCCACCCTCCTCCCCAGGTGCCAGCCGTCCTTGGGCCCCACAGCAGACCCAGGGTGGAGGCCCCCACGAGAAGCCAAAGGGCAGAACTTTCCTGGAGGAAGGGTGGGACCGGCATGAGGGAGGGAGGTCTCCTGGCCCTTCGGCCAGTGGGAACAGTGACTTGTCTAGAGCACACTTGCCTGGGGCTGGTGTGCTCTGATTCTGGTGGGGTTGAAAGTGAGGGGCGAGGAAAGGTCGGTGGCTCACAGAAGATGGCTTCCAGTTCATCAGCCAGCACCCTGTGATTCCAGGGACATGTAGTTCCTAAAGTAATGGCATGTTGTGGCCAGAGGTTTTACCTAGCTGTGACCTGACCAAGGTTTCCAAGCTAGGAAGGAAGAGGGCTATCTAAACTGACCACTGCATCCCCTCCGTCCGTTTTGTTGTTTGTTTGTTTGAGATAGGGATCTCAATGTGTAGCTCTAGCGGTCCTGGAACTCACTACGTAGACCAGGCTGGCCTCGAACTCACAGAGATCCGCCTGTATCAGCCTCCTGAGTGCTTGGATTAAAGGCGAGCATTTAAAGGCCACTCTGACTGGCCTCCCCCACTATTAACCTATGCTAAGCAGAGGGGAGAGGCAGATCTGGGACAGGTGCTGGCAGGACTTAGTATGGAAAAGGTGAACTCTGTCCTCAGCGCATATGAAGATGTCACGCGGGAAAAGAATTCCCCCAATCACAGGCACACGCACACGCGCGTGTTAGGAAAGAGTGAGCCCCCAGGTAGTGAGGATGGTTGTGTCCGTGGGTTGTTTGGTCTCCATGGCACAGTTTGAGGGTTTCGGATGAAGTGCGAGGGAGCAAGGTGTTGGCTGGGGCCGCTTCCCTGGTTGCGCGTGGGTCCGGAGCGTTCTGCAGCGCCCTCTGGTGGGCGGCAGCCGCGCGGCGTCCAGGAGGCAGGTCCGCGACCGCAGACAACTCGCCACTCGCCTGCTGACGGTCTGGACCCGACCTCGGGTGCCACGGCTGCGCTCCGGATCCACGCGGCGTCCCCGCCCGCGCGCCTCTGCTGGGCCCTGCCCTCCGCAGCCGTTTTCTCGAGGCTCCGCCTGCGGCCCAATTTCCAAGCGACCGTTTCCCGGCGACGGCGGGCGGGGCGGTCCCCACCACCGCTGCCGGGAGCCTGCTAAGCCCCGCCTAAGGCTCCAGTGCGCGAGACGCTGCTGAGCCACAGCTCGCGTCCCCAGCGCTGAGACAGGGGAATGGCTCGCACGACTTCTGAGGTCAGCGGCCTACCAGGTAGGCGACGCTCCCTCTTCCGGTCTCAGTTCTCGTGTCTTCAAAACCCGAGTCAGAAGAGGGCTTAAGAGCAAATTTACCCAGCGCGAATCTCTCGAGATCGCTGGCCCCGGCTGGCCTGACCCTGGTGTAGGGTCGGAACAAGGCCGGCAGGGCCCGCAGGGTCGCCACGATGGACTCACTGGCAGCACCCCAGGACCGCCTGGTGGAGCAGCTGCTGTCGCCGCGCACCCAGGCCCAGAGGCGGCTCAAGGTGTGTGTGTGTGTTTGGAGACAGGGTGGAATGTGGGTCATGTGTGCACGCTTGCTTGGCCAGGATCCTCCGGCTACCAGATAAGGTGGCAGGGGCTCCCAGGGAAGATGTCCACTAGGGATGGGTGCAGCCACCGCAGACCCTGCGGCGGGGGAGGCTCCGTATTGCAGTCTATAAATAGCCCCTGCTCGGATGCTGCTGTAGGAACCACCACCCCCAAGCTTGGATCTGGGCCAGACAAACCACCCACCCTGGATACTCTGGGGATGAGGTCTGGCTGCTTCCACCTCTGGAGCTCCTTGTGTTTGAGGGGTCTCACTGATTCCCACCATCCACCTGGGTGAACACCTCGGTGGGGCTGACTTTCCCTCTTCCCCACCCCAGTCTCGGGTCTCTGCTGAGGCTGAGGTGGGGGTGCCTTTTCCTGCCACCCCCTCACCTACCTTCCTCCTTCCGGCCTTTGCTTTACAGCCCTCACCCCAATTTTGCTGATGAAATGGCCCTTGCTAGGGGCTGTGCTATCTGCTCATCTGAGCCACATAAGAGACAGGGCCTTGGGCTGCCACCAAAGATCTAGGACACGCCCCTGACCTGCCCCAACCCCACCCCTGCCCTCAGGACATCGACAAGCAGTACGTTGGCTTCGCCACACTGCCCAACCAGGTGCACCGGAAGTCAGTGAAGAAGGGCTTCGACTTCACCCTCATGGTGGCTGGTGAGTGGTCAAACTTCTGGGTGGAGCCTCTGAGGCCATGGGTCAGCCCATCTCAGCCCAGATCTAAGCTGACTCTTTCGCTGTCCCTTATGGCCAGGTGAGTCCGGCCTGGGGAAATCTACTCTTGTCCACAGCCTCTTTCTGACTGACCTATACAAGGACCGGAAGCTGCTGAGTGCAGAGGGTGAGTAGCCCAGTACAGTCCTCACCAATCCACTCACCCCTGCCCTGAGAAACCACAGAGGGCACCCTGTCACTCGGCTTGAGGCATGGGTCCCTATTTGGGGGATGAGGAGAAGTGGCCCAGAACAGAGGCCAAGGCACCAGGGTGGGGAAGGATGAGGAGGCTCCATGCTGCCCAGAGTGAAGGGGGAGATGGTCTGAAAATAGGGCTGTTCCCTCTTCTGCAGAACGGATCAACCAGACAGTTGAGATCCTGAAACACACCGTTGACATTGAAGAGAAGGGAGTCAAGTTGAAGCTCACCATTGTGGACACACCCGGCTTTGGGGACGCTGTGAACAACTCAGAGTGGTGAGGAACAGGTTCTCTGCCCCAACTGCCACTGCCTAACAGCTCTGGGAACTGGCTGGAACTGGCTTCACTCTTCCCCCACCTCTAGTTGGAAGCCCATCACCGACTATGTGGACCAGCAGTTTGAGCAGTATTTCCGCGATGAGAGTGGCCTCAACCGAAAGAACATCCAAGACAACCGGGTGCACTGCTGCCTGTACTTCATCTCCCCCTTTGGACACGGGTGTGTGGCAGTCCTGAGATCCAGCTCAGGGTGGGTGCCCCCGTACTGCATTGCGGCCCTCCAACAATGCCTGTCTCCACTGTCTCTGCAGATTGAGGCCAGTGGACGTGGGTTTCATGAAGGCATTGCACGAAAAGGTGAACATCGTTCCACTCATCGCCAAAGCTGACTGCCTGGTTCCCAGTGAGATCCGGAAGCTGAAGGATAGGGTGAGTCTTCTATAGCTGGGGGGGGGGGGCAGAAACTCCAGGGGAGCTGGAGTCTAACGGCTCTTGCCCAATTACTGCAGATACGGGAGGAGATTGACAAGTTTGGGATCCATGTGTACCAGTTTCCAGAATGCGACTCAGATGAAGATGAAGACTTCAAGCAACAGGACCGGGAACTGAAGGTGAGCACGTAGCCAGAAGGGGCGAGGGCAAAGGAGGTTCCTGGGGCAAAGCACTGGAGGCCACACAGACCCTGGGGAAGGGCTAGGCACCCAGGTCCAGCATGATCAAGGCAGAAATCATTGATTCACAGAGAAAAGGGACTACGCCCCCTGTCACAAGGGCTGTGCACATTCAGGAGAAGGGTCACTTGCACCCATATCTAGTTTGTGGTGGAACATTTGGACCTCCCCTGGGTGCTGACTATACACTTATTGGTGCCATTCTGGCCTGCTTTCCAAGAATCAGCACAGTGGCTCAGAGCTATATAGAGAGCCCTAGTTTCCAAGATTCTGAGCTCCAGAGGGCGGTTGCTTTGAATACCTTAGAGGCTAGGAAGGTAATGACTGAAAGCTAAGCCAGGAACTAGGGGCCACTGGGCCAGGAGCAGATGGGCTGGGCCATCCACCAGTAAGCATGGTCTTTGCTCTGACTTGAAAAATGGAAGCTCCGGGAAGCATCCGGAGTCAGAGAAATGCACAGCCTGGCAGAAGCCCCAAGGCTTTGAGCTATGCAGAGTTTGTGGCTTTAGTGGGTAGTAGAGGCACCAGAAGAGGAGTTGTGCCGGTTGGGAGGGAGATAGTGGCAGTGCCGGGATGGCCACGCCCCCTCAGCCTCTGAGCTAGCACTCTTATATTTCCGGGCTGGGCTGAGTCCTTGCTCCCCTTCCCCAGGAAAGTGCGCCCTTCGCTGTTATTGGCAGCAACACTGTGGTGGAGGCGAAGGGGCAGCGGGTCCGGGGACGACTGTACCCCTGGGGGATCGTCGAAGGTGAGTTGAGGCAGGAGGCACTGGGTGCGGAGAAGGGGGTTCCCCTAGGCTGAGGCCTACCCATTGTCCGCTCCTGCCCCACAGTGGAGAATCAGGCGCACTGCGATTTTGTGAAGCTTCGGAACATGCTAATCCGAACTCACATGCATGACCTGAAGGATGTGACATGCGATGTGCACTACGAGAACTACCGTGCCCACTGCATCCAGCAGATGACCAGGTGGGCCACCCTAGCGGAGTTGACCTTCTCACCCTGACCCAGGCCCTGGCGCCACAGAAGGCCGCCCTGCCCAACATACACCAGAACTTTGTCCCAATCCTAAATCAGCCCAGTGGCTTGATATTGGCAGAACCGGCCAGACATCTCCTATCCTCCTAACCTGAACCCCCCAACAGCTCAGCCCTCTCGTTTCACAGCAAACTCACACAGGACAGCCGGATGGAGAGCCCCATCCCTATCCTCCCACTGCCCACCCCGGACGCAGAGACAGAGAAGCTCATCAGGATGAAGGACGAAGAGGTAGGAGGATGTAGAGGGAGCCTTGATTGCGAGTGAAAGAGTAGGAAGGAGAAGCAGAGGGCGGGGCTAGACCTCTCCGGGTTTTCTCACTCTGACTTGGGTCGTCCCCACCTACCAGCTAAGGCGCATGCAGGAGATGTTGCAGAAGATGAAGCAGCAAATGCAAGACCAGTGACACCCGGCCCCAGCCCCACATCGCCAAGGATAGATGGCCGGTTTCCGGGCTGGCTCCTCCTATCCCTGGATCCCAGACTGTCCTGGATTCTACCCTGGGTTCATCTGGATCTCAGACAGCCTGGACCTAACCCTAACCCAAAGTGGCTTTGACCAAACTGTTCAGACCTGGAGCCACAGAGCCACAGCCCCCAGATGACCCTAATTTATTCTCAGCATCCACCCTTCCCGGTCTGGTATCTGCTTCTGAGTGGTCTGAACCACAGCCCCTCCCCAACCCCCTGCCGCCCCCAGCCCCGCGCGCACCTCCCGCTCGTCTAAAGGGAACAAGTTGTGTATAATCTCCAAGATCTCTTCCTAAAAGATCACTGCCCCAGCGGCCAATAAACCAGGGTAGAGGAGGGTCGTGGATGCAGGGTCTCGGGCCTATTACCCAAGATAATACCGCAGAATGGAATTGGGAGGCCCCCTCTGCGGGTTCCAGTGGGCTACAAAGCGTATGTTAATGTGCTACTGTGTGCGGGTAGTAGGCTCGGTCCTCCCTCACTCTTTAACCAGGCTCTGTTCAGGACCAGAGCACACGGGTTTGGAGGCTGAGGCCTTTAGGAAGACCCCAGACCTAGAAGCGTCTAGGAGGAAGGAGAGGAATGTGTTGCGCTAAACGTCTCACGCCCCTTCCTGAGTCGACCTGAAGGACTCCAGGGGCGGTTGGAACGGGGTGTACCCTATGCCTAGACTACTTTCATCTACCTATAGGTCAAGTTCTCCTCCCAGCAGATCTGTTGTGCTGGGATTCCAGCCCTTGGCCTCCTCCATCTGTCCACCCGCATGACCCCTCCCCACACACCCCATTCTCTGTTTTGTTTAGTTGTGAATGCCGCGTCCTGTCCTGGTGACAGGAGAACAAAGTTGGTGAACGTCGCAGCGAGTGTCCGAGTGTTCCATGAGCCCCAGGGAGCGGGCGGGGGCGGAAGCCCGGGCTGCCTGCGGGGCCCTGGCGATAGTACCCTATCTATTGCCACAACGCCCTTGCGCGCCGGCTCAGAGTTATTTCTGGCCTGGTGGCAGAATTGTGGTCTGTTGCAGTCTCGGACCATCACCACTCCAGAACGAACTAGACTGCCATCCTTTCGCCATGGGCTCCTGTGAGTTCTGGGGTTGGGTCTGCAGCTTCCTGGACAGAGAGCCACGTCAGGTGTTCTGGTTTGGGCAGCAACAGGCAAAGGTTTGGGTCAGACTTGGAGGGAAACATTAGACAGCATGTAGGGTGGCCGGGGTGGAGGCGCCTGCGGATTCGCGGGATGCTGGTCTTAAGAGCTGGAGGGAGCTCCCGGTGATGCTCGCAGCTCATCCCAGCGCTTCTCTTTTAGGGCCGCGCCGAGCGCTGAGCCTGCTGCTTCTGCTGCTAGCGCGGCCCAGCCTCCCACTCGCAGGCTGCCCCGAGCGGTGCAGCTGCGCAGGGACGCTCGTGGACTGTGGGCGCCGCGGACTGACCTGGGCCTCGCTGCCCGCTGCCTTCCCTCCCGACACCACCGAACTGGTGCTGACCAGCAACAACTTGACCGCATTGCCGCCGGGGCTTCTGGATGCGCTCCCTGCGCTGCGTGTAGTGCACCTGGGCGCCAACCCCTGGCACTGCGACTGTCGCTTACTGCCGCTGCGCGCTTGGCTGGCTGGCCGGCCCGAACGCGCGCCCTACCGCGACCTGCGCTGTGTCGCGCCTCCAGCGTTGCGCGGCCGCTTGCTGCCCTACGTGGCAGAAGACGAGCTGCGGGCAGCGTGTGCGCCCGGCTTGCTCTGCTGGGGGTCTCTGGTGGCACAGCTCGCGCTGCTGGTCCTCGGGCTGCTACACGCACTGCTGCTGGCGCTCCTACTGGGTCGCCTGCGGAGGTTGCGTGCGCGTGCGCGCGCCCGCGCCTTCCGCGAGTTATCACTCACAGTCCCGCTGGTGGACGAGCCAACATCCTAAGAAGGGACAGACGCAGAGCAACAAACGACCTGCAAACTTTACAGGTCCCTGCTGGAGAACCCTCTCCTTCGCCTGGATTTGCCTCGGCCTCTGCCCTTGCCCAGTCTTCCAGACCCAAACTCGGCAGGCCTGAATCCACGTGGGGCCAAATTGCTGCCAGCACTACTGGAGTGAAACATCCCTGAGCCTTCAGAGCCTAGGGAGGTTGAGCGGCTCAGCTCCACACTGAGCAGTCTCCCCCTGCCAGACTCTGCACTGAATAAACCTTTCTCCTTCATCTGGCGGTTCTGTACCACCTGACCTTGCCAAATTCCAGAAAAAGCCTGGGGGAGGAGGTTGTTCAAGGGGACGTTTTCATGCACTGCCAAACTGGCATAGGGCAAACAGGAGCCGGTGGTTAAAATTCCCTCTACCCAGCTGTCTTCGAGGTCATTGGCAGCGGCGATGCTGTGGACAGAGAGGTCCCTCTGGCACTGAGGAAGCTTGAAACAGTACAGGCCGGCAGCTTAGAGGAAGCTTGTGGGAAGCCAGGGCCATGAGAACTTTCAAGGACAGCTTGGAAGTTGAGGTGTGCTTGGCCAGTGACCCCACTGTGTGGACAGCTATCAGAGCACCCAGAGACAGAGGGAGGTTGGGATGACTGTGGTTTGTGATTCACTGGCACTCCATGGGCCATCTCAGTGGGGAGTTGGACTCTGGAAGGGTAGGCAAGGCCAGGTTACAGAGACATGATATAAGGGCCTGTAGGTATGAGTTCAGCCAGTCTCTGAAATATAGCCTGGAGTGAGCCAGGCCTCCTCCCATACCTCTGGACCCTCCAAGTGTTCCCATCCACGCCCACCAAGCCGCAGCAGTCTCAGCCCTCCTCCCTCACAGCACAGGTTACCCCAGTCTCTGCCTCCCTCCGTGACTGCGGCTTGCCTAGGCCTTAACATAGGCTATTCCCTAGCCTGGTCCAGGGTTCCCTTTGCATCCCTTCGCAGCTCACAAGTCTCCTCCTCCACTGCTCTGCTCTGGACAACAAGGAGCTCTCCATTTCCCGGTTTCCCATTGTCTGCCTTCCCCTCTGAAGCGGAGAAACCAGGTGGTCTGGTTCCTGTCTGGGTGCCCCAATGAGCAGAATGGCACCTTCCTCACTGGAGATACCAGGCTCAGGGGTCCCCATCCTGCGCCTGATGTTGGTCCCCACCTGGTTGCCTCTATAAATAATGGAAGCTTTTGTTCCTGATGATCTTCATGAAGAGCCTTGGGTCTGGGCACAGGAAAGCACCCGGCCTCCTCTGACCGCCACTGACCAGGTCGGGGAGGCTGTAGCTGACATGGCCTTTGTCCTAGCCTTTGTGGGACAAGACAGATGACCCTCCAGTAGGCTGATTCTATCTAGAGGCTGCCAGTCACAGTGAGGCATAAGCCGTCCCTTCCTTTGTGGGCAGGTGCAGGGCATCCGGCCCATTGTGGGCTGCAGCGAACTGTGTGCTGTCTATCCGGCCTTATCACCGCATCAGGGACAGTGTCCTCTTTGTTCACCCTCCCCAGGGGTGGCCTGTCACCCTCAGAACCCCTGGTTGAGGCACACAGATAACACCTTGAAGTCATTTGAATGCAGTGTGGGGAGGGGGCATTCCTTCTGTTTTTCAGAGGAGCAAGTCAGGTCTTTAAGCATCCTCTCTTGCCTCCATCCTTCCCTGTGGCTGGGATAGAGCAGAACTGAGACTAGCTTCCTGGGGTCCCTCTCTCCTTCTCGCTTAGAACCCTTAGGGGGCAGTTTTGGTGCCTAGGAGGAAGTGACCGAAGACCCCAGAGTGTCTCCACACTAAGAAGAACATAACCCTGGGCAATAGGATGAGTCCTAGCAGGAGCCATAGGAAGGAGCCCAGGCTCAGGGTGCACTGCTCACAGGGTTTGAAGACTCCAGGACCAGGGTCTTGCTGAGAGGATGGGTTTTGGACTTCTGAAGGACAGTCGCCACAAAAGCAAGGGCTCTGCTGGTGAAGAAACAAGGCTGGTATCGCAGTGTGTTTAGACAGAAGGATTGGCCTCTTGCTTCATGGTTAATGGGGCAACTGTACCCATCGTTTCTCCAGGAGACCCCTCTTGATGGACCCTCTGTGGTCTCAACCGGCCGGTGTCAAGACGCCAGCCTGGCCTCAATGGCTGGCCCTCCTAAAGGCCTGGAAATCTCTCCAATTCTAACTCCTGACCTTAAGCTGACCCTCCACGTGCTTAGCCTGGGGTCTCAGCCTCCAACAAGTGTGGGGAAGTGGATGGTCCCAGCTCAGTGCTCCTGAATGCACACACCTCCTCCTCAGCCCAGCCTCCAGCATTGTCATCCACTTCAGAGACAACACACCTGTCCTGCAGTCTCCTCCCCAGTGACCAAGCTGTCCCCTCTGTGGTCTGGGACTCCTTCCAGGTGAGCATAAGTCACAGGCCCCTCTCAAAGACCTATATAGTACTGTATATATGTATGTGTATATATATGTACACATACACATGTACATATATATACACATATACATACTGTGTGTATAAACACATACAGATCCCAGATGGCTGATTCTGGGCCCTTCCTTTGGAGCTCAGGAAGTCAGGGGTGACTACACCACACTGTCCATCCATCCCTTGGTTTCCCAAGACTTGAGTTTTAGAGCAAGGCCCAGCCGTTGTGCGCCTGTCCCTCTAGCTGCACCCATCCCCATCACACTTTTGCTCACCAGAGTGGATCTGCCCTCCCTCCTGTGACCTCCGTGCTTACCCAAGACTTCATTCAAACTCAGGGATTCCCAGACTCAGCTAGTCTAACACAGGGCACGGAGGTGCATTTAGAGAGGTCAAGTCACTGTGCTGCCAGCCAGTCAACGACTGACCGAGGAGCTGAATAGATGGAGTCCCAGTAAGGCCACTCAAGGCCACCAACCTAGGCAGAGGCAGAGCAGTGACCTCCCGCAGAGAGCATCGACCTCATTGTGAAATAAACACGTGCAGCAGGGAGGTTGGGACTGTGGCCCTATTTATTTAACTGTCTGTTATCGAGCCCTATCTTCCCCTCAAGCACCATGATTCCGACTGGCACCAGAGGGCGCTAGCGATCCGCAAAAGACGCAGAGCTCAGCAGCACGCCCGTTTGCAGGCCTGGGTGAACTCTTAAGGATGCCCAGGAAGTTCACCTAGAGAGCAGGGGACTGTCCAGGCTGCCGAAACTGCACTGTGAGAGGGGTTGGCAGGTCATTCCCTCGGGGAATGGAGAGGAGGGCGCTGCGAGGCCGCTGACAGACGCGGAGAAGATGAGTGCGGGCCCCCTTCCTCCTATCCTTTGGCACACTGACAGCCGGTCAACCGCAAAGATAAGGACTTCTTCCGCCTGGCGGGAAGGACGTGGACCAGTCCAGGTGCGCCCCCCACCCATGTTTGCTCCGTAAACATTCATTGGCCCCCGCTGTGTATGTTGCGACGGAGCGGGGCTGATGACAGCGGGTGCTGGACTCCTGCCGTTTCTTCCCTGGATGATGAGGAGAAGCTCAACGATTTAGAAAAAGAGGCCCAGTCAGTCATCTCTAGGTCACTCTGGTGACCCGGGTAGCATTGGGGTTCTCCACGAGTCTTCCATAGCCTGGAGAAACCTCGGAGTTTGGCTGGCCTGCTTGAGGCCACTACAAATAGGAGGCCCTGGGAAAGGTGTGGGGGTCCCCAGACTAGGCCACATAGGAGGGGGAGGCCCGCACCCGCTGCCCAGACAGAGCAACAACATTGGGGTGGGTGGCCCATAGCTCACCGCAATGTCTGCGCCCACCCCCAGCGTTTCCGATGGAAGACAGGCGGCTAGTGATAAATCACAGCTCCCACTCCCACCCACCCAGGGCTAACTGGTGGGCAAGAAGGGCTGCAGGAGCTGCGTATCACAGAGACAAGGCCTGGAACAGAGACAGGAGACAGGATAGAGCCAGAGGCCGTC